TGGCTTAAAGCTCAACATTCAGAAAACTAAGATCATGGCATCCAGTCCCATCACTTCATGGCAAATAGATGGGGAAACAGTGGCTGACATTTTTTTCCCTAGGCTCCAGAATCACTGCAGATGGTGATTGCAACCATGAAAGTAAAAGACACTTACTCCTTGGAAAGTTATGACCAACCTAGTCAGCATATTAAAAAGCAGACACATTACTTTGCCAACAAAGCTAGTCAAGGCTATGGTTTTTCCAGTGGTCGTGTATGGATGTGAGAGTTGGACTATAAAGAAAGCTGAGTGCCAAAGAATTGTTGCTTTTGAACTGTGGTGTTGGAGAAGACTCTTGAGAGTCCCTTGGACTTCAAGGAGATCCTAGCAGTCCATCCTAAAGGAGATCAGTCCTGTGTGTTCATTGGAAGAACTGATGTTGAAGCTGAAACGCCAGTACTTTGGCCACCTGATGTGAAGAGCTGACTCATTTGAAAAGACCCTGATGCTGGGAAAGATTGAGGGCAAGAGGAGAAGGGGATGACAGAGGATAAGATGGTTGGATGGCATCACCGACTCAATGGGCATGTGTTTGGGTGGACACCGGGAGTTGGTAATGGACAGGGAGGCCTGGCGTGCTGTGATTCATGGGGTTGCAAAGAGTCAGATGCGACTGAACTGAACTGAACTGAATACTACATAGTGTTGTGTTTACACTCCTATCAGCATCTTTTTTTTTTTTTTTTTTTTTTTTTAAGATTTTACTTACTTGTACTTATTTTTGGCTGTGCTGCATCTTCATTGCTCTGTGGCCTTTTTCCTCTAGTTGCAGGGAGCAGAGGCTGCTATCTAGTTGTGGTTGTGGGCTTCTCATTGCAGTGGCTTTCCTTACTGTGGAGCAGGGACTCCAGAGTGCTTAAGTAGTTGCGGCACATAGACTCAGTAGCTGTGGCTCCTGGGCTCTGGAACACAGCCTCAGTCAATAGTTCCGGCTCACAGGCTTAGTTGCTGTGTGGCATGTGGAATCCTCCTGAATCAGAGATTGAACCCATGTCTCCTGCATCAGCAGGTGGATTCTTGACCACCGAGCTACCAGGGGAGCCCCATTTGTCAGCGTCTTTTAAATGTATAGACCACTTAACTTAATACAGACTCCTAGGTTCTGACGAAGTGCTTGACAGCATTTTAACTCATTGGTTATAACCCATCCCATCTGTTCTGTAAACATAGTTGCACTCAGATTTTACTGTAAGAATTTGGTTAGCACAAATGAGGGAAAGTATGAGAGCACTAAGGAAAATGAAGATTTACATAGCAGATTAAGCGGAGGGATGTTTTGGAGTTAAAGGAGAACAGGAGGAAACTGAATATACTGACTGGCAGTCTCTGGGTTATAGAATACAGGGGAGAGAAACTCATCACATGAATAGAAAGACATCATCTTCTAACAAAAGAAAATGCTTTACATTTAACAAATTTAATTATATGAAAAATGCATTGCCGTGTCTGTCTTTCTCATTTCACTGTGGAACTGGTGAAATGTTTATCATCAGCTGAATCAGGTTTAACAAGTTGTCTCTTAATGTCATAGGTTATTTGTGAGCACTGCTGGTTGGCCATGAAGATAGTTTGCTTCAGTAAATGGAGTATTAAGTACTTACTTTTTTTTTTTTTTTACAAAAATGCACTGAATAAAAAGTTCAAAGATATTTTAGAGGTCTTGCTTTATCTTGTGTTTCAACTTTTAAGTAAATTCCTCAGTTTTTGTATCAAATTTGGTATCTAATCTTACCTCTAAAGTTGTTTTTTAAAGTTGTTCATTTGAGATGTGAAAATTAATTCACTTGGCCATTAAAATGAATGAATTTTTCTTTAAAATGCACGTTACTCTTTCGAATCTTCTTGGGTTTTCTAGATGACAGTTAAAAGGGGGGTACGTTATTATTGAATTAGCCTGAATTCTTTCATTTATTTTCCAGTGTTTCTAAGCCCAAAGGAAAGAAAGCCAAAGATACTAAAAAGTCTGTCAGAGTGCCTGCTGAAGCACAGACAGTGGTAAGTCCAAACAGTATTGACAGCTTCTCCGTGGACCTTGTCTAAGCAGTGTAATCTACATTCTCGAGTCTAATCTAAAGATTTAAATGCGTACTTGGTGAGCCCTTCACTTGCTACATGCGTGTGGCTCCATCAGCAGTTTTCCTTGATGAATGTAAAATTTATTCAGAATATACGTGCCACTGACATTTTTTTCTTTATGGTAAACAGAGGCACCCTGAACGTCTCAGATTATACCAGAACAGTTCCTGTTGTGGTTTTCATTACTTTGAAATCCAGGGCGTTATCCTTATGGCATGTGCTCTTGAAATGTCTCAAGACCCTTAGAGTTGATGGTATTGGTTAATGAAACTCAGCTTCCAAGAACAGTTGCCTCTGCTGAGTCTGTCTTGGTATTTTGCAATTGCTTGATATTTAATCTCAACATGAAAACATTGCTCTCAGATAATAACACTTGCTTTTATTTATGATTTTTTCCCCCCTTCTCAGAGTGATGTGCTTATCAGCTGTACAACCTGCCATAGCGAATTTCCATCCCGGAATAGACTTTTTGATCATCTGAAGGCCACCGGTCATGCACGAGCACCTTCATCCTCAACATCTCTGAACAGTGTAACAAACAGTCGAAACAAAAAAGAGAAACGTAAAAACAGATAGAAATTCTGCCAATGCTTTTTTCTTTCAGTTGTCTCTAGATTTTGAAACCAAAAACTGAACTGAAATCATCTAAATAGTTAAAATTTCAGTGATCTGCAATTTATTGCATTGTGGAAAATTATTTTTTATCTTGTAAAAACATTTTTTTGTTTAATATATATTTTTTGAACATGTCATTAGTGACTGAATTCTACTTTTGCCATCTGAAATTGACTTGAATGTCCCAGAACAGGTAAATATTGTAAAGTATGCATTCTTGACTTTTGTTGGCCCATGTGGACAGAAATGTACAGGGAGAATTAAATTATTTTAACACATACAAATTCTCCTTTCTGCTTTATTTTGTGAATTTCACATGAAGTATTTTTATATGATTTGGTGCTTTTGTGTTTTGTTGTTTCATGATCTGTTAATGACTCAGATCATTTTAAAATCGTCATGGATTTTTTTTTTTCCACCTGATACCATGACTCCAGTTTTGATTTTAAAACCATTTCTAAATAACCTGTTGTTGATTACTGCATTTCCCCCCCCTGGAGGATAATGATAAGTGAAAACTAATTGAACATATATGGTTGTTTTTCAACAATAGTATTTCTTCAAGGTATATCTGTTTAACTTGAGATTTTGCTGGTAATTATCAATAGGATATATCTTTTGGTTTTTCACCCTGATTTGACTCATGGAGTTGGAACAAATTAATTTATAGGGTGCTTCCTCCTCATAAATATGCACAGTGACAGGTATAAAGCATGATGAATTCAGGTAGCCCATGGTTCATAATATATTCTGACTCTTTTAATAGAGGATATTCTTCTTTGGATTTCTTTTCACTGTTTTCAGAAGTTTTTTGTTTTTTCATCATTCAATGGAGAGAAACTTTTTAAATGAAAGATTGTTGTCCAGGGCTGCTATTTATGCCATCTATTCTGTAGCAAGGATGAATATTAAATCAAAAGAAATAGGGAGAATCTTTATGAGTGTGGTCGAGTACATGGATCAGTGATGAGTCAGTTTTTAGGATGGATTAAATAGGCAGTGCTTTTAGCTGAACTTGAAAGTAATTTTGAACTCACCAGCTTTGAAATATATACTTGCTGATCAGTGAGGTTAATTCTGTCCATATATCCTTGAATCATCAAATGAAGCAATCTTTAGTTATGCGTAAACTCGAAAACACACGGTCCCTGATGGCAAGTTTTTCTGAACTGTTCATGGATAATATTGATGATATGGATCCATTTTGTGTGATGGACTTAAAAATATGCATTTGTGGCTAAATTTTTTATCTTTTTCATTTTAGATAGATGTTTATTTTCTTTACCTCTCCTCTTTCTCTCTAACTTATTGCTAATTCTTTCTAATTGTTTTTCTCCATTTCTTGGTCCCTTTAGGGAAAATACCAGCCAGTTTTCTGTCTTTGATCTTTTCCTCTCAAGTTTCATCTGAACACTCACCACCTTCCTGTAATTTGAGCAAGATTAATTGGTCATAGTCATGAATAGAGATATTAATGAACAGGAGGGCATATTAGTCACAGGTTATTTATTTATCATCAGTAAAGAATTGGAAGGCATCTGGAAAGGCAGATAGTGTCCTGCAGACGCCCTTCAGACCTCCCTTGCTTTCCAGGCAGGTACTAACTCTGCAGGTGTATTCAAATTTATTCCTACTACATGTGAAGATCCCTTGGGGTTACTTGTCAGTTTTATTCTGACTGTCAAAAATCATCCATACTTTTTAAGAGAGCTTCATCAGTTGTGATTGGAAATTAGGTTTCACATCTTGTCCTGTGTGTGCTGCTGCTAAGTCATTTAACTTCTCTGAACTTCATGTTGCTTATGTCTGACTCAGTTGTTAGCATAATACTATTGTCTCCATTTAGCACACAGGATTATTATTAAGATTAAATACAATAGTATATGTGAGAATTTTTTTTTAAATGCAGAAACTTTACACACAATTTTGTTGAATTTGGATAAATTAAACCTTTTCCAGTTAAAATATTTGCAGATAGCAGTATATGTGCTGAATTAAATGTGCTTTAAGTTTTAAGGGAATTTCCAATCTACTTCTGAAGAGGAAAATAGAAACATATGTTATGCCAAGGGTAAAATGTTATTTTTGGTGACTCACAGACATTCAGTTTTGTCTGAGGCAGAGCAGAATATTGTAAAATATTCGAGCTTATATTTTACATTGATCTCATTAAAATCTAGTGGTAACTACTATCTTGATTGAAGTTAGCTCAGGTGTGGAAGATGCATTGCTTGTTGGTTCTGGAAGGAGAGTGTTAGGAGAAATCCAATTTTTTTCTCTCCATAATCCATTCAGTGATACCAAAGCTTTGGTTCTCTATAAAGTCCAGTGAGACTTTCCCTGTTTCAAAATAGGAGCAGTATCCTTAACAAAAGTCCAACACTATAGGAAAATAAGGTTTGCATCAAAATGAAAAACATCTGCAGAACAATAGGAACCGTAAGTAAAAAGACAAGCCTCACTCATTCTGGGAGAAAATGTTTATGATACATGTAACTGACAAAGGATTAGTATCCCAAATACATTAAAAGAGAAAAGAACTTCCTGTAAGTCAGTAAGCAGTTGACAGCCATGCATTAATATGAAGTAGTTCTCAAAGTTCTTGGTATCAAGACCCCTTTTAACGATTGAGAAGCCCAAACTGTTTTTTTGTTGGTAGGTTATGTCTATTGATAGTTACTCTATTAGAAATTAAAATAGAGGAATTTTTAAAGTATTAACTTATTTAAAATAATACATGTTAAATAACACTTATGGAAAGCAACTTTTTCAAAAGGAAAGTTTAATGAGAAGAGAGGCATTTGTTTTACATTTCTGAAGATTTCTTTAACGTCTGGCTTAACAGAAAACAGCTGGGTTCTCATATCTGCTTCTGCAGTTAGTCTGATACTCTGTGTTTTGGTGAAAGTATATGAAGAAAATTGAGCCTCCTGTGGGTAGGAAATTGGATAAAGAAGGACCTTGGGGGCCATCCCTGGATCTCCCAAGGCCGTCAGATCATACTTGTAACTGCTGCGTTAGAAAAATGGGTAAAATACATGACCATAAAAAGCTTGAGTAGTCAAACAATATGAAAAGGGGATCATTATCAGTGATAATCAGGGAAATACGACTTAGTCGTTTCATGTGTTCAAATGGGCAAAAGGCAAAAAAAGTCTCACAGAATCAAGTGTTGGTAAGAATGGAGAAATGAGAACAGTTGCTTCAAAGTGATGGTGTCTGTGACAGTGGAAGATGTACACCCTGACTTGACAACTCCAGGGTAGACTTAGAGGCTCACAGTATCTGCAGTCACAGCACGGAGACTCACCCAGGTCCCACCCAGAACTGCTGAGTGAGTTTGAGGTTAACACGACTTCTCAGGTGACTCCTTGCAGCTTGAGAAGCGGCACTCAGGAACCCATGTGCAGGTGGACAAGAAGACTTAGTGGCTGGTTACAGCTGAATTGCTTGTGTCTGGGAAAATCTGGAGATGGACCCTACATTTCCATGAACAAGAAAAAAAGTTGGGCAATGGGTAATTAGATGGCAAATGAGCAGTTAAAATGAGAGAACTTGAGATGTAGCATCAGTGGCTGGCCCTTAAAAAAAATATTGAATGAAAACAAGATATCAGAAAGTGACATGTATGCCACTTACATGTAGTTTTTTTTAAGTACTGTTGTTATTTATAAGGAGAAAATACAGAACCATCAGTGGAAAACACATTCAGAAAAGCAGTTGCCTCAGAAAGGGAGGACCTGGGAGCATGGCAACAAAGGGTCCTCATCTGAGCCAAGACTTCTTACTAAGATCTGAAGGAAGATGTTAGCATTGATTGAATTCTGAGTGGTGGCAATGAGGGTCTATTACTCTAGTACCGTGTTTTCATTAAATACTTCAAATGTCCAGAGAAATACAAATTAGTGGTCCATTTCTTGCTAACAGAAAATACACTCGCACGAAAGGGGAGATGAAGGGATTCAGGTCTACCTTTTATTGCTGCTGTATTCCTTAGGCTCACCGTCAGAGGCTGTGACTTCCTTGATGCTCTCAATTCCCTCCTTCTTACAATTGTGATTTTTAATTGGGTGCAAGCCACCTAGCATCTAAGGATTACCTTCCCAGCCTCTTGTGCTGCTAGGTGTCAGTAAGTTCTGGCCAGTGATCTGAGCAGCTTTGGGAACCTGTCCTCAAAGACGTGGGAGGTCCATATTCCTTCCTCCGCCAGCTTAAATGAACAGGTAATGATGAGCTTCCAGCTTTCCATCTGGGACCATGAGTCCTCCCAGGAACGTGTCGAGAGCTTCCGTCCTTGACGCTCTGAAGGACCCTACGAGCCCCCAGACTACCTGTTTCTGCGTTCCAGAGAAATAAACTGCTTTACTGAAGCCTCCGTTGTTTTGTATTTCCTATCGCAGGTGACTCGCGTCCTGATTGTTTTCAATCCTTGTGTCAGGAAGATCCCCTGGAGAAGGGAATGGCTATCCACTCCAGTATTCTTGCCTGGAAGATCCCATAGATCTGGAGGCTGGTGGGCTACAGTCCCTGGGGTCGCAAAGAGTCAGACACTTCTGAGTGACTAACAGTTGATTTACAAAGCTGTGTTCATTTCTGCTGTAGAGCAAGGTGATTCAGTTATATATGTATTTTTTTCTTTTTTATATTGCTTTCCATTATAGTTTATCTCAGGATATTGAATATAGCCAGTTGATTCTTATTTCAGCGTATGAGAGGTATGGTTTCAGCAACAGTGAGGATGTGGGCTCTTAGCTCTGAGCGATCTGGGATCAAATTGCAGTGACAGCACTAACTGTGATCTTGGGCAAGGCATTTAAACTTAAGTCTTTTTAATTTTCTTTTAAAGTCTGTAAAATAGGGGTGAAATCAACCTTTGGCAGATTTGCAAAGGTGAAAACTGTGAGCACTATGCCTGGCACATAGTAGGCATTCAGTAACTATTAGCTTTTACTTTTAGTAATCTCTTCTTTCTGCTTTATAATTTTCTTGCTTTATTTAGCTTCACTTTGGTTTCTGAAATCATCTAATAGAGTAATTTGGGGAGAAATCCATAATTATATTGATCCAATGGTGTATTTATTTTTCAAGTACTAGTTTATATATTGGAATTCTTATATATTGGCTCAAAGAGAACTAAGTTTGTACAGGCTAAAGCTAAAAATATGCTATTTCAATGTGGTCGCTTGACACCAATGGATGCTGTCTTGTAGGTCAGTGATCCTAATGGTATTAGAAGACTCAGTACATTTGTACAGATAATTGCCATTAAAATAAGTCAGGGCCC